GAAAAGGGCAAAGGTTATTATGAAATCTAATGCCAGTTTTGGTCATTCTGACAAAGCAAAATTCTGTGGACACCTATGATGAATGAGAGAACAGGGCATGTAGCCCACTTAATAAGGGATGCCAAGCAAAGGCAGCAAAGGTGTTAAATGGGATTGTAATCATCCTCATTATTATATTATCATCCTATTGCTATGATTATATAAAGTATTTTGAATGTTTATAAATCTACTATACTGTAGAGAAGAACCGTGTGGAAAGAGAAAGTTACATATTGCCAGGCTGGGAAAGACATATTACCTGATCCAACAAATTTATTCTTAATCTTTGCTATCTAATATTACTTCTATTACACCAGACATAAGACATTAAAAGAGCACCGTGACTTTCTTTCCATTTATGCAATTAAACTATGACAAAAACCTAGACAAAGTACTGATGATTCTCTCCTTATAGGAAACCCTTATAAAATGTTAACCCACTTCTAAGAAGAATCCTATGGAAGTTTGTTCAATATTGCAGTTTCATATAATTGCCTTTGCTATTGCCCTCTAGTTGTAAAGAATGGTCTTGATTTTCTGTAGTTTGGGGATCTAAGCATAATTGAGTTTTCCATAGATGACTACACTTAGGAAAGCAGAAAGCTTTTGTCTTTCCTGATTACTTCTGAGCTCTCCTCTTTTCTGCTCGTCCATGCAACATATTTGCAATATAAATCAGACCCAGTCTGCTCTATTATAATAATTCCATGGTATTTCAGATAACTAAATATAATTCCTTGTACATCAAGGAATAGATACACTTTTATTAATGCAATCTAGAATTTGGAGATGTGAGGTGGAAGTCACCGTGAGCTATTAGCTAATATACAAAACTGGCTTTTTGAAGGAGCCTGAAGACTCTTCACCCAGATATTTGGTGAGGAATGCAGATGCCTCCTTTTAACCTTCTATTTTTTTCCTTCTGTACCCATTTGATTTGCCATCTCTATCTTCTTTTGTTTCTTGGAATTCTTCTTTTCTTCTTTTTTATGTTTTAAATCATTGTAAGCCTCCCAGAGTTTCTGGGGGTTGGACGTTATACACATTTAATGAATAAATAAATAAACAAGCATATTTTATAGGTGAAGAAACCATTTAGAATTTTAAATGATGGTAAAATAAGTATTTCAAACTTGGGTATGTTTCAGTCTTGCCTTTTAAAAATTAATACAGTTATTATATAGGATCTAATGTCAGAGATCATAATCATATCACATGATTCTATTCTTAACCTCTGAATTCCTAACTGGAGTGAGATCGAAGTATCTCCAGAATAAGTTATTTTGAAATAACTTATTATTTAATTTCTGTTTAACAAATAGGATGGATTACTCTAAAAACATGATGAAGCAAAATGAAATCAAAAGGATGGAATTTTGGAATAAAACCCTTATCAAACGAATAACCAGTCAGACCTTGTAATTTATTGACTGTTGGCACTAGTTAGCTGAATATTACTCCTATCGATAGAAAGATTACTTATAAAAGTGACCTTGTGCCTGTTTCATTAATATCTGCCTCCTGCACTGTCAGTCTGTAGAAGAGAGCTGGGGAATGGAATTAAGCATGTTATCAGCTTAGAGTCCTTACATTGCTGCAAATGTTCCAAGTCCAACCCACTTGAATCCTGTTGACCCTTATCTGGTATCAGTTTAGTACTGAACTTTAGCTGACTAGATTCTTGTGTATAGGCTTGAGCAATAAAATTTTGAACTGCAATTTAGAGAATGGTCCTGATCCTTTGCATCTGACACAAACAGAAACAAAAATGCCATTTTAATACATTTTCTTTTCAACACTGCTACAATGCCAAAGATTTTCCCCCATTTCATAATGTCACCTACCATGTTTCCCCGAAAATAAGACCGTCTTATATTTTTTTGAGGTCCAAAATAAGCGTTTGGCCTTATTTTTGGGGAGATCTTATTATTTTGGGGTGCATGGAGCAAGAAGGGGCTCCTCTTGCCATCTTACCTGATTTCCAGCTCTGTCTCCCTAACCCTAACCAGAGGAAATGGCAGGGACTGGCTGCGCATGCATTTTAATATTTTCGGGGAGGGATTATTTTTAGTGCATGCACTCAAAAGCCCGATTGGGCTTATTATCCACGGAGGTCTTAATTTGGGGGATAAGGGTAGTATCACTTAAACTTAAGTAGTAAGGAGTTCATACCGTTTTTTGACTATAGGTTTAGCCCCCCCCTTTGTGACATTTTATTTACTTTTTTAGCCCCTTTTTTAGCCCCGCCCCTTTGTGTGACATCTTTGTTTATGTTTTCAGCACCACCCCCTTTTGTGATGTCACAACACCCCCACCCTTTTGTGATGTCACAGCACCCCCAGCCCCTCCTTACCTTGGAGGACTATGACGTCATAACCAGTGCCCTTTACCCACAAGCCCTTTTTATCGGAAGTACTTTTACATCATGGTGAGCCACTCCCACTTGACCCATAAACCTTCTCACCGGTAGTGCGGAGACAATACCACACACCACCACCCCCTCTCTGAACCGGGGGCCTTTCACCGGAACTGTTGAAACAGCAAACACGTCTGACCCAGAAGTCCTTTCAGCTTGATACATTAATTATGCATATGAGGCTCTTCTCATTGGTCCATATTTGCAGAGGCGGAGCTTGACAGTAGCAGCCTATGAAGTTGTTTCTCTGATTCAGAGGCGCTTCCCATTGGCAGAATCAAAATGATTGACAGGCGAGCACATGGAAGAGGCTGCTAACCTCTGAAAGGCTAACCATCGGCAGAATCAAAATGATTGACAGGCCGAGCACGCGGCCTTCTATTACAAAAAAGCAGAAGCATTTCTGAGCTTCAAACCCCACAATAATATATTTACGCAGACCAAGAAGTAAAAAGCATTATCAAAAAGCAGACTTGGAGCCTGTTTGCAGGTGTAAAGTTTGGAAGCTGAACACATCCTTTTCTTTGTTCTCAGAGGATTTTACATTTGCAGAGGTGTAAAAATAAAATTACTATTTTTGCAAAGAAAGCCCTTTTTGTATGCAAAATGTTTTTATTTTTATATATTTCCGAAAGGTTTGGGTAACGGGTAGGGCTAGAAGGCTGGAAAAATAAAATTAAGAGAAAGAATAAAGAATAAAAACATGAGGTTATGCGCATGCTCTGTATGTTACAAGAGGCCCCAGGGCGTGTTGGGGCATGCCCCAGGGAGGGGGTGGCCTGCGGTCATGCGCTGCGTATATGGATGCTAGATAACGGGAGGAGCGATGAGCGTGATGGCACGTGCGACAAGCTTGTTTATGGCATGTTCTGACAGGTCCCAGGCGTGGCCTGTGGTTCACAGCCTGATAAAAGAGGGCCTCTGCAGAAGGGCGACAATTCAGCCGCTTAAAGCCTAGGCCTCGTTTAATAATATGGGGCAAGACGAAGGAAATAATAAAAAGGATGATAATGTAGAGTCAATTGATGATTTATTTGATGTGAACGTGACACCAGAACTCCCAAAGAGGGCACGTCGAGTTAGGAAACATTGTAAAAAAGTTAATATTGAGAATGAGCAAGAGTTGACGCTTAAGATTTGTTATTGCCGCTTCTGCCAGTCACCAAACGGTGCGTATATATAGGCATTGAAAATTAAAAAGTATTATGAGTTGGAGACAAAATATGTAACGTGTTATTTCTTCTTTCAGAACTGAATGTTCACCAGAATACAGGCCTTTTGCAAATTGTCAAGAGCTGTGTTGTGAAAATTTTGCATCATTGTTTACTGGGATGTTTGAAGAATGAAGATCAATTAGATGGAATAGATGGAATGAAACTAGCATTGTTAAAAGAATGTGCCTTCAAATATCTATACCCCAAATTGTCTGGATGATCATTTATATTTCAGATAAAATGAACAAGTTATATTTCACAAGGGATACATTGGATGAAGTCAAAGAATGTATACAAAACATTGAGAGGATGAAGGACCCGCTGGTTTTAATGACAAGAATAAGAGATGAGACTCCAATCTCAATCAAGAGATTGATATGTCAAAATGTATCAGAAATTGATTACAAGAAAATGTTAATGTAAAGGATGTGAATTTCTAATAAAGCATGTATACTGAAGAACTTTGAAAACTGTTGTTACTTCTGGTTGGTAAAGGGGTATTTAGAAGTATGGATAGGTTGTCAAGGATGTGGGTTTGGGGAGGGGGTGAGTTTGACTGTTTTTGCAAAAAATAGGGGGGGGGGTGGATGGGTGGATGTGGGTGGGTGGGTTGGAGGGTATTTTATGTTAAGGCTTCAGGACAGCCAATACGCATGTTGAACTAAAGATGACATCAAGAACATTGGGCGTTGGAGTCTTAGCTGGTTGAAACTGATAAGAAGGTAGTGGTCAGCGTGGCATAGTTACCCTTCCCTATTGACCGGTGAAGAAGTCAGCTTCAGGATGACCGACGCTGATGTAAGTGTTTCTATAACTATGAAAGATATAGCTTAACGCTGATATATTATTATATAACGATTTATATGTATTAAAAAAGTCAAATTGGCTTTATATATATGATATATATTTTGTGATTATTAGGATGATGCAACTGACTCCCAATGTGTAAAGGCCGTTGAAGGTATTATTTTCCTTTTACCATGCAAATATTATAGGGGGTGGGTTGTCCTTTTTTTTTTTTTTTTTTTTTGTGGCAGTGCATATTCCAGTAAGATTCAATTTTTCTTTCAGATTGTGAGGAAGATGAGCTGTTTGGGACATTTACAATGCCCACAGACTCACAATGGAATTTATATATCAGGGGTGGCAATTTAAGCCCCTTAGGATGCCCTACAGAGATGATATTAGGAGGTATGTCATTTAATCTGCAGATATTACTATTGGATAAATAGTCGTGTCTGTTAGGGAATGTTGATCTATCATCAAAAATAATGTGTAAGGGTTGGGGGTGACACCTTATTCAAAGTATATATGTTTAGTATACTTTGGGTCTTTAGTATACTTTAGTATACTATGGGTTCTCTACCTTTTCTGTAACAAGAAGGATACCTATATGATTCTTTGTTTATTTCAGATAGGGGTGATGTTGTTGATGATGTTGATGATGATGATGATGATGATGATGATGATGATGATGAAATGTTTGCGGCTTTTACAATGCCCACGGACTCTCAATGGGCTGAATATAACAGTGGTCATGGTGAATCCACATTACAAAGGGCACAAGAAAACAAATTAGAAGGTATGGCATTTTATTTTGCAGGCATAATTATTGTATAAAAGCTGTAACGTGTTAGGGTCTGTAATAAGTGACTGTCCCTAAGTAACAATATGTGTGATGGAGGGGTGTGCATGTGTTATGTGTTATGCTATAGGCCGTATTATTTATTGTAATAAATGTGAGAACCTTTTACCTTATTGCTGTACATTCCTTTCAGAATGGTGGAATGGGCAGATGCATGCCAAATTCCCAGGATGCAGTGCTTCACATCATGGTCAAAGGGGTGGGAACCAGCAAGCAAGCATATCACATGCGCCTGTGGAGGAGCAGCTGCCAGAAATGGTGCAGCAGATTGCAACAGCACAGGGGACTGAAGAAATGGAAATGCAAGGTCTGAATTTATATTCACATATGGCTTTTAGGGAAAACCAGCAATTATGTATTTTGGGGGATGATATTCAATATGTTTTTGTGCTATAATAAGTACTAATCCTAAATGTTAATTATTTGTGGACCTACAGATAGAGACAGTGAACATGGATCTGCAGAAGGACCATGTCCAACAGGAACACAAAGCATTGGTCAGAATATTGAACTACAGGAAGCATCCCCATGCAATGCCAGGGCTGTACAAGAACAGGAAATTGAACCCCGGCCATCCACATCTCGCGGCATACAAGGTTAATTAAAATGTACAAGAACTGGTAAATAGTGTTATATGTATTCATTAAACAGTGACAGACCTTCGATATGTCTTTTTTATTTATTTAGAGCCTGTATGTAAAAAGTCTAAAAGGGGGCCTGAGGAGCAGCATCCAACATCTGCATACAGTGACATCTCCAGTGAAGAGGGTGATATGTCAGAAACACAATCAGCAGAGGAATGGGGCTCTTTGGAAGGTTCTGAACCGCTAAGTACACCTGAAGCACCGCCCGTGTACCTGGAGAGAGTTCAATCATGGCAGAGACCCCTGCAACATTACAGAGCAATAGAGTACTATGAACGTTATAGATTTGTAAATATGGAGCATGTTCAATCATTTACGCTTGCTATAGATGTTATTCATAATGAGATACAGAATCTTTTGAACCGTATTTCCAGGGATATAAGTCCAAATGATTTTGTACAATTGCGGCTGGATGCTGAGGAATTAAGTAGGCCCCTCTTTAGTGTTAGAAGGCATCTTGAAGAGTTAGATGCTGATGAGTTCCTTAGTTATGTAGAGAGTTTATTACAAAGCAATGTGGAGATCTTATGGAGGAACTCTTTGGAATTAACAGTCACGATTGTGAAGAACCATGAGGGGGGCGGTCTTAGGAAATTAGGAACTGTTCTATTCAGTAAGATTTTAGAGAAGAAAAGACAACACCTGATTGATTTCAATGTGGAGGGGGTTTTTCTGTGTTTTGCAGGCAGCCTGCTATCATTGTTAGATAACGAAATGTCTAGTAAACAAGAAATTATTACCAGAGCCACAGACCTCCACAACACACTTGGGATATCTACATCTCACAGAATTGATTTTTCACAGATACACTTATTTGAAGACCACTTTGGTATAACTATAAAGATTGTGTTTTATCACGAAGGGGGTTGGAGATTTTTTGTAACTGGAGGGACCCTAGAAGTAAGAGTAGTGTTTATGCTGTTACACGACAGTCATTACTATGGGATAAAAAACATCAAAGGCTTCATGGGGGTACGTTACTTCTGCATATTGTGCCATACAGCGTATCATCACAAATTTAGACATGATTGTCAATATTTTTGTCGAGCTTGCACGGGTTCAGAATGCCGCGAAGTGGCTGGGGGAAGGGTGAGGTGCCGTATATGTAAACTGCTTTGTCGCTCTAATGCCTGTCTTGAAAGACACGAGCAGCTAGCTGTGGAAGGAAAAATTGGTTGTGAGGATAATGTGTTTTGTTCCAAGTGTGGTATCTATGTGCCGGCACCACATGTCGAATGTAAGAAAACAAAGTGTGGACAGTGTGGTGCCAAAGTAGACAGCCTGACAGGTCACTTATGTTATCTGAAAAGGCTTTTTAAGCCAGTTGTAGGTTACATGTACATTGTGTATGATTTTGAATGTTGTCAAGAAACTGGGGCTCACATACCGAACTATGTCTATGCCATGGACATGCTGGATGATGGTGATGTTAGGAAGTGGGAATGGTACGGTGATAAGTGTCTGGAGGAATTTGTGAAAACTTTTGTACAGCCTAAGTTTAAAGGGGTCACATTCATAGCTCACAACTCCAAGAGTTATGATGGATACCTAGTCCTCAGGCAGCTCATTCGTGAAAAGGTAAAGGTACAACTCTTAACTCAGGGTGGTAAGCTGCTATGCATAACCCTACCACACTTTCATATACGTTTTATCGATAGCCTTTCTTTTTTACCCATGAAATTGAGTAAATTACCCAAAGCTATGGGCTTTCAAGGCTCCAAGGGTTATTTCCCTCATTTGTTCAATACTGCAGAGAATCAAGATTATGTGGGGACGTTGCCGGATATCAAATATTATAGCCCTGACACCATGATGCCTGGGGAAAAAGAGGAATTTGAGAAATGGCATGCTGCTAATAAAGGTACAACATTTAACCTCAAAAAAGATCTTGCTTACTACTGCAAACAAGATGTTAAGATACTGAGAGATGCTTGTAACAGGTTTAGGGAGCAAGTGATGGAAATGACAAAAAGGGAGTTTTTCACAGGCCGTGGTGGCGATATTCTTGAAGAGTCCGAAATTCGTTGCATTGATCCTTTTCAATATGTAACATTAGCATCTATTTGTATGGCGCAGTACCGTTTCATGTTTTTGAAGAAGGATAACGTAGCATTAGCACCTCTGGACAATTACCAGAAGAGCAAGAAAAGCTATTCTGCATGCTCTGTACAATGGCTGATGTATATAGAGCATACCGAGGGTATAAACATCCAACACGCTCTGCAAGGCGGAGAAAAGCAAGTAGGTGTTTACTTTTTGGATGGGTTTGCTGTCATAAACGGGTCCCCCACCGCTTTTGAATTTTATGGTTGTTTTTTTCACGGATGCCCTATATGCTACAAGGCTCAAGACTTCAACAATCTGCTTGATTCAACCTACGGCCTGTTGTACTCACGCACTAGGGCGAGAGAAGAATACCTGAAGAGCCTGGGGTATGTAGTACGCATCATCTGGGAACACGAGTGGAATGATATGTTGAAGAACAATGAGGGATTGAAACATTTTCTAGTAGATAGTAATTTTCCAACACCCTTGAACCCCAGAGATGCTTTTTTTGGGGGCCGAACAAATGCTACATGTCTGTACTATAAACCAAAACAGGGGGAGCAAATCTTATATTATGATTTTACAAGTTTATATCCCTTTGTGAACAAGAACAAGCTGTACCCGACAGGGCACCCAGAAATAATATACCAAAACTTTGGGGATATAAAACAGTATTTTGGATTTGCTAAAGTTAAAGTGTACACACCAAGGGGTCTCTACTTTCCAGTGCTGCCATATAAGTCTGGTGGCAAATTAATGTTTAGTCTGTGTGCAACTTGTACAGAAAAACAACAAGTCACAGAGTGTCTCCACAATGATGAAGAAAGAGCCCTAACTGGAACGTGGTGTACTGTAGAATTGAATGTCGCTGTGGAGAAAGGTTACAGAATTGCAGAGATCTATGAAGTTTGGCATTTTGAAAGGAAGTCAAAAACCTTGTTTTCTGGTTATATTAACATGCATCTCCGTCAAAAACAGGAGGCTAGCGGCTACCCCGTCTGGTGCAAAACAGAGGAAGATAAAGAGCGTTACGTTCGGGATTATGAAAAGAACGAAGGGGTCCGTTTACGCAAGGAGCGCATTGAAGTCAATCCTGCTAAAAGACAGATTGCTAAACTGTTTTTAAACTCCTTGTGGGGTAAATTTGGCCAGAGTACCACTCAACTGACTACATCGGTGGTGACAGAACCTGAGGAATTATTTAAGTATCTTTTTGTCCCCCATTACGAAGTGTCCTCTTGCGAATTTGTGGATGATGAAACAGCCATTGTAACATGGAAAACAGCCAAAAAACATCCTACTAAGTCAACGTGTACAAACTTGTTCATTGCTTGTTTTACAACTGCTTATGCACGGCTAGAATTATACAGGTTATTGGATCGTTTGGGGGACAGATGTCTCTATCACGATACTGATTCTGTCATTTTTATTAGCCGAGAGGGGGCGTGGTCACCGGCATTAGGTGATTATTTAGGGCAGCTGACAAGCGAGATTCCTCCAAACACCTCCATCACCGAGTTTGTGGCGGTTGGTCCAAAAACCTATGGTTATGCTTTGTCAAATGGTTCTACTGTGTTAAAGGTGAAGGGTATAACGTTAAACAGTTCCAACTGTGTTAAGGTTAACTTTGAAAGTCTGAAAGATCTGATTGATGAATATTGCCAATCAGAAGGTGAGGAAAAGAAAGAGATCAAGATCCAGCAGCCGGGAATTGTTAGGATTAAGAAACAGTGGGCTCTGGAAACCCGGGTACTCAGAAAAACTCTAAAAGTTGTCTATAATAAAAGGGTGCTCAAAACAGAGGATTATTGTACGTTACCTTACGGTTATTAATTATGATGAAAAACAGGGCATCGTTTGTACATCCTTTCTCATGTATTATAAGCGGTCCTTCCAATTCGGGAAAATCTTATTTTATAAAACAAATGTTAGAACACGGTGAGCATGTATTATCTGAAATGCCTCAAAACGTTATATGGTTTTATAGCTGTTGGCAACCTCTGTACAATGAATTACTTAATAAATTTCCTAATATTAAGTTTATGGAGGGCCTTCCTGACTCTTTTGAAGCTACTGACTTGTTTCCAACAAATCAAACCAATTTAGCGGTTGTAGACGATCTCATGGCAGCCGCCGGTGACAGCGAGCAAATAGAGAAAGCTTTTACACAGTATGTTCATCACAAAAACCTTAGCATTATTCTCATACTTCAAAACCTGTTTTTTCAAGGTAAGAAAATGAGAACAATAACTCTAAATGCAAAATATTTGGTGTTATTCCGCAGCCCCCGTGATCAGATGCAAGTAGTCACATTGGCACGTCAAATGTATCCGTCTAACACGCGGTACTTTTTAGAAGTATTCCAAGATGCCACTAGCAAACCTCACGGTTATCTTTTAGTTGATCTGGCTGCCACTACTCCAGAAAACTTTAGGCTGAGAACTGGCATTTACCCCCCTGAATGGCCGGTAGTTTACACTGTGAAAAAGAAGAGTAAAAAGTAACAGCTGTATCTGGAGGGCGCACAGTTCATACAGGATGTCTGAGAGGTTGCGCAGAAATTGGGGGTTATTAAAAATCTTAGTAAAGGCAGGCCCGAAACAGAGAAAAGCCATCTTATGCAATGCTAATAATGACCTGGTGGGGGCCATAGCCGAAATAGCCCTGAACACTTTAAAAGGTAACCTGCCTCTGAAGCCTTCACAATATCGGAATTTAAAGAGAAAGAAAGACTGTATTAAAAAACTGAGTGATAGTAAGCTCTCTCTGAAAAAGAAGAAACAGGTTATTCTTCAGTCAGGTGGTTTTATAGCACCATTACTAGGGGCCGCTATACCATTGCTGACTAATTTATTAGTGCAGTAAACATGGAGCACGCAGAGAAAATGTATTTGGTGTCGAGGCGTGAGATGGAGCAGCTACGCGGTCAGACACCTACAATAGGTGCCACTACCGTTAGCCGGTTGGACGATGACATGCGGGCCGTTCTTCAGAGACCTGATCTAAGTGAAGATGACAAGATAAAACTATACAACACAGTGCTGCAGAGATTTCTAAGGCTGACCAGACAAAACGACTCTGAGAAAGGTATTCTGAATCTCATTCAGCCTCCAGAGGCATTTAAACAAACACCTGTTGTACCAGAACAGACACCACCTCTCTCGCCGCTGGATCCAACAACGCAGGAGATATTAGAGGGTGTGAGCACGCGATACAAGAAAAATGCTTCTCTTTTGTTGAACAAAATGAAACAACATCAAGACATTTTGGGTTGGGATGATTATGGAACCGTTTCCTACAAGGGTACAAAGGTGCCGGGGTCTAACATTGTAGATCTGGTCAAAGGGGTTTCTCAACACCGGATGCGTACTGCGAAATATTATCCTAAGGGATGGAATGAGTTTATGTCTGCAATGGCTGAGATGAATGTACCAACAGTATTGCTAGGTTCTAACGTTGTTAAAGAGCAACTCGAAAAGCTGAAAGAGGCAGGAAGTATTAAGACTGTAAGTTCTACAAAACCAATCTCTGCTATGTCTGCACCTGCTGCAAGTTCTATGTCAGACCGTAAAAGTGTTCTAAATTTTGGTGACTGGCTCCAATTGTAAACAAATAAAACACTGTGAAACATGCAATATTTTTAACGTTTAGTGTTTATTTTATTATGTACCATACATGTTTGCATACATTGGTAATTGTTGCACGTTCCAGAAGCCCTTCCAGGCATCATATTTACTACAAAATGCTTCACCATTTGATCATTTCTGACATCTTTGACAGAATATAGCTTTAAAATATCTTCATAAGGTAGCCCTTTAAAGCGTTTAACAAGATAAAATAAGCAATGCTGTCCACAGGTTATTGCCAGGGGATGCTGCAGTTGAAGCGGTTGATACGTGTACTTCTTAGCTTGCAGTTCTAAAAACCTCACGATGCCAACGGGGAAGTCAGAGTCGTCTGGAGCTCTTCCGTAAGAGTCAAAAAATTCACCATTGCTGTGTGTTGGAAAGTAGAGCGCCAACCAGTGTTCACCAGGTAGAGTATGGGGGTGGGTATTTACAATTAAACCGAAAGGTCTCTTGGAGATTTTTCTCTTGGGTAACAAATCACTGGGGTATACGCCTAGAAAGAACGCATTTCCAGACAACACACGTAGTATCTGCATGGTATCCATCCTCACATATAATCAAACAATACATTCCTTGTGTGGCTTATTTCAATAAGATTTTCAAAGATTGCATAGAGTATCATGTTGACGGTATTGGGGAGAGGTACAGCAAATCTAATTTCTGCTCTGAGGTTTCCGTTCTTGATCAGGGAATAGTGCTCTGAGCAGCCTTGATCGGGGCTCAAATCAAAACAATATAAAGTATAGCCATTGTTAAATTCCTCACGGTTGATTAGCACAGATCGATCTTTCATTGCTTTGCCAGACGTCTGTAACAATTGCATATATTCTCTCACAAAAAGGTTATGTTCATAATCAGGCTGCAGCGGTTTAGCAGGAATTTGTTCACCGTCACAATACAGGGCACAAAAGTTGACATTATAGTGCTGGAAATTGAAAGGATTTCTTTCATAATCACCACTAAATGCGGCATTGTCCACGAAACCAATCACTAATTGTTTAGGTAACTGCCCTAGAAATAGGTTTTCCTGGTTACACACAAGACTGCCTGCAGGAATGCTGTAAACTTTCATACCAACACGGTCAATAGGATATTTGGCGTTGGAGTTCAGCAGAGCCTCCGCATGTCCTAACCGTACACCAGGTGATACTTTTACACGCTTTACAAAGAGAGACGCTGCCAGGATCTGTACTTTGTAATTCTCATTACCATCCCTCATCAGGCAGAACTCATTTTTACTTCTTGAGAGTTTAATGTTCACATCCACACCGTTAATCAATAGTTTGTCTTGAAAAAACAGATCGCTATGCAAGGGGCCTAGCAGATCCCATTTACGACTGCCAGCTGTATGTCTAGCTCGTGCTCTGAAACCAGAGTTACCGGCGGCTGTCAGCAAGGTGTTCTCCATGAGCGTAGCATCATCCTTGTAAAAGCCACCCGCTGAAAACTGGGTCCCCAAAGCATCTCCGCTGTAGTTCAGAATAAGTTCAATAAGGCCTCTGTAAGCATAGCAGTGGTGACTCTGTGTAATCACACGATCGCCTAATGTAACATCCACCTGATTGAACAGTGACGCTATGGGGTAGTTGACAAGACTCACTCTTGCTCCGTCATCGATATCCGTGCCGTCAGCCTTCACAACCTTGCAGCTCACATACAGCAGAGTATTGTTTAAATCCGTGTAATGATCGCCATGTCCCGTTATAAAAAATTCCAAAGGGGCATTGGGAGTCAGCGCTGATAAAGGGGGGATCTCGATGTATGTGCAGTTTTCAATGCTAGTTTGCGTAGGCGCCAATTGAAAAAGATCTAGCTCTGATTTGACACATTCCTCTGAAGCCTCGTGGATAAATGCCATTTTATCTTAGAAGATGTTCTGTTTGTCACCGCGCTTCCTTCCTTGTGTACGTTTCCTCTTTGTATGACGTGTTTTTTTAACAACCCGCCTCTTTTTAGGAGGCATGGGCGGGCCAACAGGCCGTTTCTTCCTGATCACTGCCATGCCAGATCCCCCCTGCCCAATAACACGTGATACAAGCTGTCCTGACACGTCTCTGGCAATATTATTAGCCGCCGCTTTTACGTGAGGTTTAATGATTTCTAGGCCTCTCCTCAGTAACGGCATTGCTTTTCGAAAAAGACCCCGGAACAGGCCCCCTATACCGGTACCATACATAACGGGGGCTCCACGGAAACCGGGCAGCCCGTTTCCAGCCTGTGCCCTGTAATAGTCTACATATGCTTGAGGACTCCCGCACTTCTTTATCACGACCATCCTTCACTTTTCTGAGGCCTGAAATGAAGCTTAACAACGACCTTACCATGGTTAAAAGCTATGTTTTCATTCTGGTCCGTTTTGATTTCTACAGTAATCGTATCAATATAATGTTTGTTGACGGTAACATAATGCGGCTGCTCGTAGGTCGTCGTGATTATTTCGTTGTCCTTACCCTGCACAGGTAAACAACGTAGTAACGGCACATAGAAGTCACCCACTATCTGCGGGCTTACAATATCTGTATAAATATACAGCGTGTTGAATCCTCCTGTAATGTCCGTGACAAAGTTGCTTTTTTTGGTACGTACATGTGGCTGTAATCCTAATATTTTTCCAAGGCCTTCAGTGACTAGGATGCTGTAGGGACCCTCTCCTTTAAGTCTGATTTTCCGTCCAATTGCATCATACTTCACGATTACTTCTGGGGGGTCTTCGTCTTCTGTCATAACCGTGTTCATATTTTCTATTACTTTCTGGATGGTTGCATAGTGACCAGCTTTTAAAGGAAACTGCCATTTTTTTTCTCATTAGCGATTTCAAAATATTCCTTTGCATTTAATGTATTCCAAGTGTGCGGATATTGTAACTCAACCAGTCCTACCTCCCATGATCCTGGAAGCTCCAACACTTTTGCTAGTCGAATAGTAAAGTTGGAACTTTTGTTGTTGGGAAATGCAGCTGCTGATGCATTGCTGGGCAGTGTAATATAAAAACCAGCCATGTCAAAGGTGCCACACTTCGGACTCCTTAACCCAACTGTTGAACTTCTCCGGCCACCCAGACCATTTAACTAGATATTCTCTTTGTTTTCCCCTACCTCTTTTCCTGACTATTTTCTCGATTCTGTAGACACGTTCTTGTTCGCTAGGAATCTTTTGCATCTCTTCTGGGTAAAAAGTTCCCTGTACGGGGTCCTCTGCATAATCCATTAATCTATATACAACTCTTTCACCCCTCTGAACCCGTTCTTTGACAATAAAAATTTCATCTGTAAAGGTTTGATGATATCCCTTTTCAAACCTGCCCTTTAGTCTGGATATTCTAACGTGATCCCCCACCTTAAAGGTTTTTAACTTTCCGGCTGCTTTAAAACTTTTTCCATATAGCCGTAGCCACACGTCTTTTTCATTAGATTGTTTCACCATGTTGGGGGCTGTCCTGATACTGCGATGGTAAGAGCCATTGTACCCCTGCATGAGAGCCGGTAAAACATCCACATACCTATGAGTATTTTTAGCTGTAAAATGTCTCCAGAGTTTATTTTTCAGAGTTCGATTAAACCTCTCTATAACAGCCGCTTTAGTTTCACTATGTGTGACAAAATGGTGTATGCCATAACGCTCCAAAAGTGTCTTCAGAGGCTTATTTAGGAATTCTTTTCCAGCATCTGTCTGTAACTTTCTGGGGGCCCTTCCTGATTGGAAGATGGTCTGGAAGGCTTCGGACACCCCCGTCCTGACTTATCAAGTAAACAGACAGCCCAGGCATATTTCGAAAGTACATCGATCACTGTTAAAATAAATTTCAAACCGTTGTTTTCAGAGTCAAATCCTGATAAATCCACAAGATCTGCCTGCCATTGACAGTCAATGCAAGAAACTATTGTTGCGTTCCTAGGAAAATTTATTCTTGCAGGCTTATGAAGAGTATATGTATCTTGTCCGGAAAGCCATGTCTTGACACGTTTCAAGGTTAGGTTTTTAATGCGTTTCCGTCCTGCCTTAAATAGTGGGTCTACACCTCCATAACTGCCTGTGCATTCGGGTGTATAATACAACTCCTTTAGAATATTTTCATACTTCATTCTGCACCATTCGCTCCTTACAATAAATACACTTTGCTCTTTAGCACAAGCCTTTTATTTGTAATTTACATATCCTTTACCATTCTTCACTCGCAGAATAATAACCTTCATCACTAGTAGAGCTATAGTAATCATCATCATCATCATCATCATATCATCATCATCATCATCACTATCTTCAAATTCTGTAGTCACCTCACAAATACAACCAACACGCCCACATTCACATACTTTAGCAATGTTAACTACATTTGTAATGTCTTTATTTACATCCTCTGGTAGACAAACGGGGTATTCGGTAAGCTTCAGAACCCCTCATTAATACCATTATTAACAGCCGCCGTAGGCACGTTGGTAATGGTCTTCGTAGGGCACTGACAATCACCTCTCTCCTCTGTAGATTCTTCCTCACTTGAGATGCTTCTTAAAAAAACCAGACTCTTGTCATGTTTATATCCTTGGGACCTTTCTGATTAAATATAAAAAATATATCATTACTAAATCTAACAGCAACTTTCTCCATTTATTATATAAAGTTGTCATCAATAGCTGTAGTAAAAAGTCAATTTAGTTTCATTTACCTAAGTGGCCCTCTGCAGACTCTTCATCGGTTGATAAGTTTAACATTAAGGGGTCACTGTTGTTGTGACTATAACCCGGTACAGAACCTGGAAAATATATTAATTCATTACCTATCATGATGGTAACAGTGTTATCCTGAATTACACATTTGAATATATAACCAATTTTTTACTTACTCAGGCCTGTTCCTTGGACCGGTGATAAAGAGCATCTCTTAGTCATTCCCCATCGTGACAGGTAAGACCTGGTGTGATCGTTCACGTCTTCACGTTCTATGACATCCCGTACATTACAGCATGATAGACGGCATCCAAACAAAATAGGCCTGAAGTCCTGTAAGTCTTCATCAAACATTGTACAACATATTTTGTGGCAGTCATTCAGAATAGGCCTTGCCGCGGGCCATGATGTAGAAGGGTCTACAACCTTTTTATTATTTCCTTCGTCTTGCCCCATATTATTAAACGAGGCCTAGGCTTTAAGCGGCTGAATTGTCGCCCTTCTGCAGAGGCCCTCTTTTATCAGGCTGTGAACCACAGGCCACGCCTGGGACCTGTCAGAACATGCCATAAACAAGCTTGTCGCACGTGCCATCACGCTCATCGCTCCTCCCGTTATCTAGCATCCATATACGCAGCGCATGACCGCAGGCCACCCCCTCCCTGGGGCATGCCCCAACACGCCCTGGGGCCTCTTGTAACATACAGAGCATGCGCATAACCTCATGTTTTTATTCTTTATTCTTTCTCTTAATTTTATTTTTCCAGCCTTCTAGCCCTACCCGTTACCCAAACCTTTCGGAAATATATAAAAATAAAAACATTTTGCATACAAAAAGGGCTTTCTTTGCAAAAATAGTAATTTTATTTTTACACCTCTGCAAATGTAAAATCCTCTGAGAACAAAGAAAAGGATGTGTTCAGCTTCCAAACTTTACACCTGCAAACAGGCTCCAAGTCTGCTTTTTGATAATGCTTTTTACTTCTTGGTCTGCGTAAATATATTATTGTGGGGTTTGAAGCTCAGAAATGCTTCTGCTTTTTTGTAATAGAAGGCCGCGTGCTCGGCCTGTCAATCATTTTGATTCTGCCGATGGTTAGCCTTTCAGGGAGGGTTAGCCTCTTCCATGTGCTCGGCCTGCCAATCATTTTGATTCTGCCAATGGGAAGCCTTTCAGGGCGGGTTAGCCTATTCCATGTGCTCGGCCTGTCAATCATTTTCTTTCAGCCAATGGGAAGCGCCTCTGAATCAGAGAAACAACTTCATAGGCTGCTACTGTCAAGCTCCGCCTCTGCAAATATGGACCAATGAGAAGAGCCTCATATGCATAATTAATGTATCAAACTGAAAGGCCTTCTGGGTCAGACGTGTTTGCTGTTTCAACAGTTCCGGGTGAAAGGCCCCCGGTTCAGAGAGGGGGTGGTGGTGTGTGGTATTGTCTCCGCACTACCGGTGAGAAGGTTTATGGGTCAAGTGGGAGTGGCTCACCATGATGTAAAAGTACTTCCGATAAAAAGGGCTTGTGGGTAAAGGGCACTGGTTATGACGTCATAGTCCTCCAAGGTAAGGAGGGGCTGGGGGTGCTGTGACATCACAAAAGGGTGGGGGTGTTGTGACATCACAAAAGGGGGTGGTGCTGAAAACATAAACAAAGATGTCACACAAAGGGGCGGGGCTAAAAAAGGGGCTAAAAAAGTAAATAAAATGTCACAAAGGGGCGGGGGCTAAACCTATAGTCAAAAAACGGTATGAACTCCTTACTACTAACTTATTTTTAACCTAATAAATATCATATGATTTTTAAGACAAGTTATTATTATTTTAAATTTAATGCTGATTTCCTAAAGACTCTTTTCTTTTTTTCTATTAACTGGGCAAAGAAAACTTATTGATAAAAAGATACACGTAAACCCATTGTATGCCAAGTATAACACACTCTCATAGCAACCTAAAAATCATAAAAAGTATTAAATCCACACATCGTTATCTTTTCTTGTTCATCCCTCTGAGATCAAATGATACCATCAGATACAATTGTGAAAGTTTTACATCTGACCGTGAAGCTCTGAAAAGGAAAGTAAGGATTTTGAGGTTTACATAATACTCCTGCAAAAGCTTCAGGAGCTCAAAGTTAGATGAATAGACAATGGAAGAAAATGTAAAGTTGAAATGGAATAAAATGTAAGTTTTATTT